CTAAAAAGGCGAATTGTTCTCTAATGTACGCTGGTAAATTTCTGCTTAAACGCGTAACTTTAATATCGTTAATCCTCCTGTTACAGCCTGGCAGATAAAGACTGTTATCCTTGGACCGGTAAGACCGATCAATGCAAACTACGTAAGAGAAGCAACCTGCAGGCCGCTGGTTGTCGAAAACCACCAAACCCGCTGAGAACAGAATTGTACAAAGTCGGGCCGGCTTATCGCTTGGGCAATGAAACTGACATTATGCAAGAGATTCTGACCTCTGGACCAGTGCAAGGTAGCTATAACTTAGATGATTACCCATTAATCGAAATTCTAAAATCGCAAGGAAAACAAGAAAGTTAAAATAATGTCAATACATCATATCAGTTAAGTATTATTATATAATTATTATTAATATAATTTATGTCATTTATATCTTTTTATTCATGATTCAGTCAGTATGACGTTATTTTGATTTTTCTTATTTTCCTTTAGATGTATTGATATTTAAAGTCATTATAATTCCGCTAAAGAAGACATAATATTCTGCGATATTAAAAGAATATTATATAAAGTAACTTCTTTTTTTTTTTACAGCTACTATGAGAGTCTATCAAGACTTCTTCGTTTACAAAAACGGAGTATATAGGCACTCTCAAAGTGCGAAATTACACGATTCCGGTTATCACTCGGTGAGAATAATCGGTTGGGGCGAGGAAAGGTCTTATCGCGGTCCACCGCTCAAATATTGGGTAAGTTTACACGATATCACATGATAACATTTGTAAAAGAGAGAAGAAAAGGTTCAAGAAGTGGCGCAAGTGTATATCATTTTTATACGTCATTGACTATCGTAAAAATGTCCCAATTATTGGAAAGCTGAAATAATTAGAAACAATTAACTCCACTAGGAATAATTATCTGAATCGACGTTGATCGACTAATTATTTTTTATTAGAACGTATTGCAAATTATTAAAATGTTAATTTAAATAATTTAAATTTAATCTTTTTTTTCAGCTGGTCGTAAACTCCTGGGGATACAACTGGGGAGAAAACGGGCTCTTTAAGATTCAAAAGGGAACGAACGAATGCGAGATCGAGTCGTATGTGTTGGCAGTATGGGCCAAGACGATATAAAAAGAAAAAAGGAAACGAGGAAAATACCAAAGTACTAGAATATCCGATTGTCATAACACTGTTGGTGCATTTATTGAATCTCCGTCGTCGGTCCGTCGTCATGCGCAATGATGCGATTGCCATCGGGGACAATGAACGATACATCGATGTTCGAAAGTATGTGATCCAATTGCCTGATCCATACATGCCTTATTATTACACGTAGGATCGGGAGGGAAGGAAGCAGAAACGAGAAGGAGACAGAGTTGTTTATAAATATTTAATAATTATAAGTATATGGATAGTCGAAAAAAATATCATTATTATTTTCTCATTATTCGTAGACAACAATAATCGTTTTACATAGAAACGCTCTCACCGTTACGCGTCGATGATCGATATGCTGTAGCAAAAGTCATATCTCTTTCACGTAATATCATCCACGTGTCGCGGCGACTTCGATGTGTAAGAAGTACTAAGTGCCAAGCGCTTGAAATAAATTTTATAAGTACGTAATAGTCTCTTTTTCACTTCATTAAACGATACGATTATACTTCTACTCGCGGAGTTAAACACTTTGCGTTTAATTGCGTTTTTTTTATATTTAATCTGCAGTTAAACCTCTTTGTGTTCTATTTTTAAAATTAGACATTATGTGTGAGGAATACTCATCACAGAAAAACAGATTTGTTAAAACAACTTCACTGATACAGCAAATCTTCAGTCGTAGTATATAAACAGTCAGTTTTGTACGTTAAAGTGGCAAAGTTGTATGAATAAAATAGCGATTATAGATAATCACATTTGTTGTAATAGCACTGTTTAATACAGCAAAGATGACTTTCTATGAAAATCAACCCAATACATAGATTAAAATTATTAATAAAACAACTAAGATGACATGTTCTTCTGTCGCTGTAATGAAAAAACTTCTTCTATTACCCATACACAGAATTTACAGCAATATCGCTGCAAAATCTCTGCACTATTGCTTCAAGTTATAGCTTTGCTGAATTACTTGATCTACTTTTTCCGTGATGATGTTCCCATAAGGTAAATGGCAG